TTATCTCATGGAAGACCAATATCAGGTTGTGGACCAGCACCGGCTAACACTTTGAGGTAGAACTCTATATATGGAAGTGGAAGAAGAGTCTTTTTTTGTTTTTGTTTTAAGTAAAGACTTAAACATGTTTAAAAAATAATTGGAAGACTCCAGTCAAGAGGATGAAATTAAATATTTAAGAGATCCTTGAGGATCAAGTAAGCTTCTTGAGAATCCAGGAGGAATAGGATCCAAAGCATAGCATGAGGGAATATATTAGCCTTGAATAGAAAGAGGTACAGCCATTTTTCTCTAACAGCAGCAAACCGGCCTAAGTTATGTAGGGAAGCTAAGGTAGTACTTTCTGATGCCTGCTGTTTTCTCTGAAATAGAAAAGCAAGTCATTTTCGAAGAGTGATGAGTGATGGATGGGACAGGCAGTTTGAGGAGACTGAGGACTGGCAAATAGTGGAGACTATAGAAAAGAGTAGGGTCTCCTGGTGGTGCTGAGGCCATTGAGGGATGCTGATCCTCAATTATAGTAGAATCAGTCTGCCCATTGCATCACTTATTCTTGTGAGTGTGGAAAGAAAAAGAAAGATAGCTGGAATTACCCCTGACTGAAGTTTCATTAAACACATCCAAAATAAGATAGATAATATTGCTGAAAGGGTTTTGTTTTGTTTTGTTTTGTTTTGTTTTGAGAACTGCATGAGCCAGTGCACCCAGCCTGAAAGGGTAATTTAATCTGAGCATACTCCTTTGCCTTTATCGGCTTCTTATTCTCTCCAAAGTCCTTGTCCGTGGCCTGGCTGCCTTTTAGATCCCATCCAATATCACTTTCCCCACCTCATTTACTGTTCTGCAGCCATACTCGGTTTGTTTTGTTCTTGGAAAATACCAAGCTCCCAATGACCTTTACGCAGTGTTTTTTTTTTTTTTTTTTTTTTTTTTTTGAGACGGAGTTTCACTCTTGTCACCCAGGCTGGAGTGCAATGGCGCGATCTCGGCTCACCACAACCTCCGCCTCCTGGGTTCAGGCAATTCTCCTGCCTCAGCCTCCTGAGTAGCTGGGATTACAGGCACGCGCCACCATGCCCAGCTCATTTTTTTGTATTTTTTTTTTTTTTCTTTTTTTTTATTGCATTTTAGGTTTTGGGGTACATGTGATGAACATGCAAGATTGTTGCATAGGTACACACATGGCAGTGTGCTTTGCTGCCTTCCGTCCCCTCACCTGTATCTGTCATTTCTCCCCATGCTATCTCTTCCCACCTCCCCACCCCCCGCCCCTCCCCCATTTACCCCCAACAGACCCCAGTGTGTAGTGCTCCCCTCCCTGTGTCCATGTGTTCTCATTGTTCAACACCCGCCTATGAGCGAGAATATACGGTGTTTGATTTTCTGCTCTTGTGTCAGTTTGCTGAGAATGATGGTTTCCAGGTTCATCCATGTCCCTATAAAGGACGTGAACTCATCGTTTTTGATGGCTGCATAATATTCCATGGTGTATATGTACCACATTTTCCCTATCCAGTCTATCATCGTTGGGCATTTGGGTTGGTTCCAGGTCTTTGCTATTGTAAACAGTGCTGCAATGAACATTCGTGTGCACGTGTCATTTTTTTGTATTTTTAATAGAGACGGGGTTTCACCATGTTGACCAGGATGGTCTCGATCTCTTGACCTCGTGATCCACCCGCCTCGGCCTCCCAAAGTGCTGGGATTACAGGCATGAGCCACCGCGCCCGGCTATGCAGTCTTTTTTTTGAGACAGAGTTTTGCACTGTCACCCAGGCTGTAGTGCAGTGGCGTGGTCTCTGCTCACCACAGCCTCCGCCTTCTGGTTTCCGGCGATTCTCCTGTCTCAGCCTTCCAGGTCTCCTGTCTCAGCCTCCTGGGTTGCTGGGATTACAGGCATGTGCCACCACAACCAGCTAATTTTTGTATTTTTAGTAGAGACGTGTTCAACCATGTTGGCCAGGCTTGTCTCAAAGAACTCCTGACGTCAGGCAATCCTCTCACCCCAGCTTCCCAAATTGCTAGGATTATAGGCGTGAGCCACTGCGCCTGGCCTATGCAGTTGTCACTCATACATTATCCCTCAGAGGAGTCTTTTTTTTTTTTTTTTTTTCTTAAGACAGTCTTGCCCTGTTGACAGGCTGGAGTGTAGTGGCGCCATCTCAGCTCACTGCAACCTCCACCTCCTGGGTTCAAGCAGTTCTCCTGCCTCAGCTTCCCGAGTAGATGGAACTACAGGTGCACGCCAGCTAATATTCCGTACTTTTAATAGAGACGGGGTTTCACCATGTTGGCCAGGTTGGTCTCAATCCAACCTCGTGATCCGCCCTGCTTGGCCTCCCAAAGTGCTGGGATTACAGGTGTGAGCCACTATGCCCGGCCTTAGAGAAGCCTTTTTAGACCACTGATTCTTACCCCTTTCTATCCTGCTGTTACTCTCTATTTGATGCCATTTATGTTTCAGTCACAGAGCATTTATCATACCCTGAAGTTACCTTGTTTATTTATTCACTTGTTTTTTGTCTGGCTCCTCTTCAAAAATGTAGGTTCCTTGGGCCATGGATGTTCTGTTGCTTACCAAGTCACTGGATTGCTTAGAGCAGTGCCTGGCATATAGTTGATGGTCAATAAATATTCAATGAATGAATGGAAAGGAGGAGATCTTGGAGAAAAAGAATATAGAGGGAAGAACAAAGTGGTAGACCATGGATTTAAGTTGGATAAAATGTGTCATAAAGAGAAGGGCCAGGTGTGGTGGCTCAGGCCTGTAATCCCAGCACTTTGGAGGCCAAGGTGGGAGGACTGTTGGAAGCCAGTAGTTTGAGAACAGCCTGGGCATCTTAGAGAGACCCTGTCTCTACAAAAAAAAAAGTTTAAATAGGCTGGGCTCAGTGTCTCCTGCCTATAATTCTAGCATTTTTGGGAGGCTGAGGCAGGAGGATCACTTGAGCCCAGGAGTTTGAGACCAGCCTGGGCAACTTAGATACTATCTCTACAAAAATTAAATGAATTAATTAAATAATTAGCTGGACATGGTGATGCATGCCTATAGTCCCAACTACTTGGAAGCCTGAGATGGGAGGATTGCTTGAGCCCAGGGGGTTCAAGGCTGCAGTGATTCATAATCATGCCACTGCCCTCCAGCCTGACTGTGACAGCAAGACTGTTTCAAGAGAATAAAAATATTAAAAAGGAGGTCTGACAAAGTAGGGGATTAATCTTGGAGCTCTTGGCTGGACGCGGTGGCTCATGCCTGTAATCCCAACACTTTGGGAGGCCGAGGTGGGCGGATGACCTGAGGTCAGGAGTTTAAGACCAGCCTTACCAACATGGTGAAACCCCATTTCTACTAAAAATACAAAAATCAGCCAGGCAGGGTAGTACCCGCTTGTAATCCCAGCTATACCAGTAGCTAAGGCAGGAGACTCGCTTAAACCCAGGAGACAGAGGTTGCAGTAAGCCAAGATCACGCCACTGCATTCCAGCCTGGGTGACAGAGCGAGACTCCGTTTGAACAAAAACAACTTGGAGATCTTGATAAGGGCTGCTACTCAGAAAAGTTTAAAAACTTTTGCAGTAGCAGCCGGGCACAGTGGCTCATGCCTGTAATCCCAGCACTTTGGGAGGCCAAGGTGGGCGGATCACGAGGTCAAGAGATCAAGACCACCCTGGCCAACATGGTGAAACCCCATCTACTAAAAATACAAAAATTAGCTGGATTTGGTAGTGGGCACCTGTAATCCCAGCTACTCAGGAGGCTGAGGCAGGAGAATCACTTGAACCTGGGAGACGGAGGTTGTGGTGAGCCTGTGCCACTGCACTCCAGCCTGGGTGACAGAGTGAGACTGTCTCAATTTAAATATATATATATATATATATATATATACACACACACATTTAAAAGCAGTAATAGCTGTGAAAATTACAAATAGATATACCCTTTGGCTTAATAATGCTACCTCTAATAATTTATCTATAAATATACATGCATATAAATGAAACTATATCTGTTCAAAAAAATTTTTTTTTCTTTTTTTGAGACAGAGTCTTGCTCTGTCAACCAGGCTGGAGTGCAGTGGCACAATCTCAGCTCACTGCAGCTTTGGCCTCCTGGGTTCAAGCGATTCTCCTGCCTCAACCTCCCAAGTGGCTGGGACTACAGGTGCACACCACCACACCCAGCTAATTTTTGTATTTTTAGTAGAGATGGTTTTGCCATGTTGGCCAGGATGGTCTTGATCTCCTGTCCTTGTGATCCAACTGCCTTGGCCTCCCCGGCGCCCAACCATGGTAACATTTTTTTAAAGTGAGGAAATAACTTTATATACTGATACAGAATCTTCATTTTGTTTAATGAGAAAAGTCTTTGTTACTATAGTGATAAATAGAAAAAAAAAAAAAAAGAAAGAAAGAAAAAAAAGCTAGGCATTGTAGTAGTACATACAGGATGTATAGTACTAACTTGTATCTGTATATCCCTGAAGTACCTTATTAAAGAACATTGGTCAGCTAAAGGACAGAAGTGGTTATGATATTATACTTTGTGAATTTTGAGCCATCAAGCAAGAATACTTTCTTTTTTTTGAGACAGGGTCTCATTCTATCTCCCAGGCTTGAGTACAGTGGCATGATCTTGGTTCACTGCAATCTTTGCCTCCCAGGTTCAAGCGATCCTCCAACCTCAGCTTCCCTAGTAGCTGGGACTAGAGGCACGTGCCACCACATCTGGCTCATTTTTGTGTTTTTAGTAGAATGTTGCCCTGGCTGGTCTCAAACTCGTGGGCTCAAGCAATCCACCCACCTCAGCCTCCCAAAGTGCTGGAATTTTGACCAGGAGTGAGATACCATGCTCAGTCAAAAATAAATAAAATTTTAAAAGGTAAAAGGAAAACACTCACGGAAATTTTATTTTTATAACTGTTTTTTTCCTAAATTGAGCTAAATAACAATAAGAGGTTAAAAACATGATTCTTTTTTCTCTTTATCTCTTATGGCCACAGGGAATGTGCAACAATCAGTTAACCGCAAACAGAGCTGGAAAGGTTCTAAAGAATCCTTAGTTCCTCAGAGACATGGCCCACCACTAGGAGAAAGTGTGGCCTATCATTCTGAGAGTCCCAGCTCACAGACAGATGTAGGAAGACCTTTGTCTGGATCTGGTATAACAGCATTTGCTCAAGCTCACTCTAGCAACGGACAGAGAGTGACCCCCCTACCGCCACCTCAAGTAAGGAGTGTCACTCCTCCACCACCTCCAAGAGGCCAGACTCCCCCTCCAAGAGGTACAACTCCACCTCCTCCTTCATGGGAACCAAACTCTCAAACAAAGCGCTATTCTGGGAACATGGAATACGTAATCTCCCGAATCTCTCCTGTCCCACCTGGGACATGGCAAGAGGGCTATCCACCACCACCTCTCAATACTTCCCCCATGAATCCTCCTAATCAGGGACAGAGAGGCATTAGTTCTGTTCCCGTTGGCAGACAACCAATCATCATGCAGAGTTCTAGCAAATTTAACTTTCCATCAGGGAGACCTGGAATGCAGAATGGTACTGGACAGACTGATTTCATGATACACCAAAATGTTGTCCCTGCTGGCACTGTGAATCGGCAGCCACCACCTCCATATCCTCTGACGGCAGCTAATGGACAAAGCCCTTCTGCTTTACAAACAGGGGGATCTGCTGCTCCTTCATCATATACAAATGGAAATATTCCTCAGTCTATGATGGTGCCAAACAGAAATAGTCATAACATGGAACTATATAACATTAATGTGCCTGGACTGCAGACAAATTGGCCTCAGTCATCTTCTGCCCCAGCCCAGTCATCCCCAAGCAGTGGGCATGAAATCCCTACATGGCAACCTAACATACCAGTGAGGTCAAATTCTTTTAATAACCCATTAGGAAATAGAGCAAGTCACTCTGCTAATTCTCAGCCTTCTGCTACAACAGTCACTGCAATTACACCAGCTCCTATTCAACAGCCTGTGAAAAGCATGCGTGTATTAAAACCAGAGCTACAGACTGCTTTAGCACCTACACACCCTTCTTGGATACCACAGCCAATTCAAACTGTTCAACCCAGTCCTTTTTCTGAGGGAACCACTTCAAATGTGACTGTGATGCCACCTGTTGCTGAAGCTCCAAACTATCAAGGACCACCACCACCCTACCCAAAACATCTGCTGCACCAAAACCCATCTGTTCCTCCATATGAATCAATCAGTAAGCCTAGCAAAGAGGATCAGCCAAGCTTGCCCAAGGAGGATGAGAGTGAAAAGAGTTATGAAAATGTTGATAGTGGGGATAAAGAAAAGAAACAAATTACAACTTCACCCATCACTGTTAGGAAAAACAAGAAAGATGAAGAGCGAAGGGAATCTCGTATTCAAAGTTATTCTCCTCAGGCATTTAAATTCTTCATGGAGCAACATGTAGAAAATGTACTCAAATCTCATCAGCAGCGTCTACATCGTAAAAAACAATTAGAGAATGAAATGATGCGGGTAAAACCTTTTAAAATGTCCATTTTTATACTTATTCATCTGTTTACTTGTTTATTTTAAAATATTGTGCTCCAGTATTTTTCATTCTTTTTGTAGCTTAATACAATATACTATCAGTTACAGAATTTAAAAGTGAAAAAATATTAAAGTACATTTTATTGTAACCATTTTATTTTAGTATTTCAAGATTCACTCAGAATTTCCTGTAATAAAATCTTGTGTAAATTAAGAAAAATATAATTTGCCATATACAGTTATACATAATACTTTATATGGAAATTGGAGCAAGGGTTGTTTTCTAGGTTTTATACATTATCTTACAACATTTAAAGATAAAGTAGTAATATGTGGGTCTCATCTCCTCATACACTTACGAAACATTTCTTTTTACTTGTAGAAAATTTGAAGTTTATAGGTTTATTGATCACATAGATCTTACTAGAAAGGGTCAAAGAAGTTCCCTTCAGTTATTTCTCCCTTCTAATTTCATTTTTAAAATATACTGGAGAAAAATGTGTTGAAATTATTAAGTCAAACTATAGTAAAGGGAGATCAGAGTAAATAAACCTATTTAAATTGTGTTGTCGGGCCGGGCGCGGTGGCTCAAGCCTGTAATCCCAGCACTTTGGGAGGCCGAGGCGGGTGGATCACGAGGTCAAGAGATCGAGACCATCCTGGTCAACATGGTGAAACCCCGTCTCTACTAAAAATACAAAAAATTAGCTGGGCATGGTGGCGTGTGCCTGTAATCCCAGCTACTCAGGAGGCTGAGGCAGGAGAATTGCCTGAACCCAGGAGGCGGAGGTTGCGGTGAGCCGAGATCGTGCCATTGCACTCCAGCCTGGGTAACAAGAGCGAAACTCCTTCTCAAAAAAAATAAATAAATAAATAAATAAATAAATAAATAAATTGTGTTGTCATTACACATAGATCTCTTCACTAGATATTAAGATGGTATTGTCAAGCCGGGCGCGGTGGCTCACGCCTGTAATCCCAGCACTTTGGGAGGCCGAGGCGGGCGGATCACGAGGTCGAGAGATCGAGACCATCCTGGTCAACATGGTGAAACCCCGTCTCTACTAAAAATACAAAAAATTAGCTGGGCATGGTGGCGCGTGCCTGTAGTCCCAGCTACTCAGGAGGCTGAGGCAGGACAATTGCCCGAACCCAGGAGGCGGAGGTTGCAGTGAGCCGAGATCACGCCATTGCACTCCAGCCTGGGTAACAAGAGCGAAACTCCGTCCCCCAAAAAAAAAAAAAAAAAAGATGGTATTGTCATCATTATTGTTTTTATCATGTGCTTAGAGTTCAGAGATCTGACTCCTAATCTTACATCTGTCACTCACAATTCAAGAGGCTTAACCTTGTGATTAAACAACCGCCTTTATGTACTTAAGAGAAACATTCTTTTAAAATGATTTTTTTACCAGGCGAGGTGGCTCAGGCCTGTAATCCCAGCACTTTGGGAGGCTGAGGTAGGCGGGTCACCTGAGGTCAGGAGTTCGAGACCAGCCTGACCAACATAGTGAAACCCCCATCTCTACTAAAAATACAAAATTAGGCCGGGCGCGGTGGCTCAAGCCTGTAATCCCAGCACTTTGGGAGGCTGAGGCGGGTGGATCACGAGGTCAAGAGATGGAGACCATCCTGGTCAACATGGTGAAACCCCGTCTCTACTAAAAATACAAAAAATTGGCCGGGCGCGGTGGCTCAAGCCTGTAATCCCAGCACTTCGGGAGGCCGAGGCGGGTGGATCACGAGGTCAAGAGATCGAGACCATCCTGGTCAACATGGTGAAACCCCGTCTCTACTAAAAATACAAAAAATTAGCTGGGCATAGTGGTGTGTGCCTGTAATCCCAGCTACTCAGGAGGCTGAGGCAGGAGAATTGCCTGAACCCAGGAGGCGGAGGTTTCGGTGAGCCGAGATCGTGCCATTGCACTCCAGCCTGGGTAACAAGAGCGAAACTCCGTCTCAAAAAAAAAAATATATATATATATATATAAAATTAGCCAGGCATGGTGGCACGTGCCTGTAATCACAGCTACTTGGGAGGCTGAGGCAGGAGAATTACTTTAACCCGGAGGGCGGAGGTTGCAGTGAGCCAAGATTGTGCCATTGCACTCCAGCCTGGGCAACAAAAGCAAAACTCCATCTCAAAATAATTTAAAAATAAAATGATTTTTCCAAATCTGATTTACAGTATTGTTATTCCATTTTACATTTTATTAAATGAGAAATGCCATAATAATCTCTATGACTTACCTATATTTTAGTTCTTAGGATTTCTTACTAAAGTCTGTCTGTATGTATTTTCTTAGTTTATTTTTCCTTTTTCCTCTTCACTTTCACTAATAGCTGATTTAAACTTTTATGGTGTTGGAAGCTTTGCTGACTTCTGTAGTCTCCATTACTGTGTAGGCAAGTAAGATTTTTAAGAGAAACAGTTCTGAACTAAGTCTGGCATGTCACCCTTCTTAAAAGATTTTGCATGCAAATGTGAATCCTAACAGAAGCATGTGGTTGCTCTATTTTAGTCTTGCATTTCTAGAATTAGACCCCACTTTTCCAGTTGAATTCCTTTTCTATTTAAACCCTTTAATTAGTTCTTTATTAATTAGCCGAAATATTTCTCCTTTCTAAATCCAGGTATTCCATATCTATAATACTTAGAAGTTAGTTTTTATTTTTAATCTATTTTTTAATATCTTCATGAGTCACACTGACTATTTGAAATATTCCTAAGTACCCAAAGGATATCTTGTAAGCAAACAAGTAGGACAAACCCTTTGCAATTTGTGTTAGTGGTGGGCCATGAGTCACACCTTTACTCTAATGCCCTGAAAAAGAAAAAAGGAAAGATTATTCATGACTATTATATATTTATTGAGAATGGGGAAAGGATTTGTGGGTTGGGAAAGGCATTGTTTTGTTGTTCTCGGTACATTAATTTTTTAGAATAAATGAGCCTGGAGTAAAAGAATTTTTTTTTTTTTTTTTTTATGAAAGATAAAATAGGAGGAAGGATATTTGAGGCCTAGGCATTACACTAAGAGAAGTATATAATAGAGAGGTAAATGAAGATTCATGTTAACAGATACTTGTTTCACATTGAGAACCTTTTTTTTTTTTTTTTTTTCGGAGTACATTAGAGAAAAGTAGAAAGCTGACTCCTCTGGGATCCCCTTCTTGCACTCCACAGCTGAATTTGCATATGTACTCACTTTGAGTATCCTTTTAACTACCTCTTAAGCTGCACTTTTGATCATTAATTTCCTTTGAAATGGTTTCTAGATTTCTAACATGCTTTATTAAAAATTATCATGCATTTAACCTTTAAATATATGCCTGAATTTTTTCCAAGCTATTTCTTAATATTTAATATTGAAGAAGATAATTCTTATTTAACATCTAGTTTATTTGCTTAGGTTGGATTATCTCAAGATGCCCAGGATCAAATGAGAAAGATGCTTTGCCAAAAAGAATCTAATTACATTCGTCTTAAAAGGGCTAAAATGGACAAGTCTATGTTTGTGAAGATAAAGACACTAGGAATAGGAGCATTTGGTGAAGTCTGTCTAGCAAGAAAAGTAGATACTAAGGCTTTGTATGCAACAAAAACTCTTCGAAAGAAAGATGTTCTGCTTCGAAATCAAGTCGCTCATGTTAAAGCTGAGAGAGATATCCTGGCTGAAGCTGACAATGAATGGGTAGTTCGTCTATATTATTCATTCCAAGATAAGGACAATTTATACTTTGTAATGGACTACATTCCTGGGGGTGATATGATGAGCCTATTAATTAGAATGGGCATCTTTCCAGAAAACCTGGCACGATTCTACATAGCAGAACTTACCTGTGCAGTTGAAAGTGTTCATAAAATGGGTTTTATTCATAGAGATATTAAACCTGATAATATTTTGATTGATCGTGATGGTCATATTAAATTGACTGACTTTGGCCTCTGCACTGGCTTCAGATGGACACATGATTCTAAGTACTATCAGAGTGGTAAGTAAACTCAAAATGTAGTTTGTTCATAATAATGTAATTTATTGATATAGTAAAATATAGGATGATTATATCACTTGATGAGAGCCAGAAGACATGGGCCAGGTCTTGATTTTTTTGTTGGATAAACTTGGGTGAATCCTTTAGGTGCTTAGACTTATAAAATGAAAGAATGTGCTCAATTTGATTATTACTAAATATTATTAACATTTTTGAGTCACTCCTTTTACATTTTATTTGTCAATATGTCAGACAAATAACTTTTTCTTTTTTTTTGATGGAGTCTCGCTCTTTTGCCCAGGCTGGAGTGCAGTGGTGCAATCTCAACTCACTGCGACCTCCCCTTCCTGGATTCAAGCGATTCTTCTGCCTCAGGAATAGCTGGGATTATAGGCACCTGCCACCATGCCCAGCTAATTTTTGTATTTTTAGTAGAAATGTACCTGCCACCATACCCAGCTAATTTTTGTATTTTTAGTAGAGACAGGATTTTGCCATGTTGGCCAGGCTGATCTCAAACTCCTGACCTCAGGTGATCCACCCACCTCAGCCTCCCAAAGTGCTGAGATTACAGGTGTGAGCCCCTGTACCCGGCCAGATATCATTTTAGTAATTTTTTAATGAATCCTCATATCCACCATTCAGTTAAAGAACTTAATACTTTATATTAATACTTGAGATGCCCCTAAACAATCACTTCCCCTTTTCTCCTCTGCAAAGATAACTCTTGTTTCAGAACTTTGTAATTAGCTCTCTACTCTTATCTATACTTTTATCACAAATGTATATATCCCTAAATAATATTTCATTTTGCCTACTCTAACCTTTATTTAAATATAATTCTATATATATTCTTTGTGTTGACTTGTTTGAGGTTCCTCCATATTATTCATGTAACATTTATTTTAACTATTTAGGATTCCATTATGTGACTATTACACAACTTATATAACCCTAAACACTTTATGATCCTTGATCTTACTTTATCCTCACAGTGTCACTGTGAGGCAGGATGAAGAAACTGAGCCCTAATTAGATGAAGTAACTTGCCCAAGGTCAGACAGAAATCAAATGTAAGGGCTAGGCTTTGAACCCAGGTTTGTCTGATTTCAGGGCCCATGTTATTTCTACTACACCACACTGCCTCACCAAGATCCCTCCAAGCGCTAATGGAAGTGTAAGTCAATCTAACATTTGTTAAATACTATGTACTAGGTGCTTTACAGTATATTCTAATATGCTCACAACAATCCTCTGAGGTAAGTATTATTAACTTCCTGTGTTGCTGTGAACACAAGTCGATTGACATTGAAATGAGTAGAACTTAGACAGTTGAACCTACCTTAATGTTCAACATGATGGAATTTAGTGTCTCCCCAGATTCAACTGAATTATTACTTGGAAAGCTTCTTAAAAATATGATTCCTAGGCTCTATTCTCGTCTTTCGATCAAAAATTTTCAGGGCATGGAAATCATATTTTAATCAAACATCCCAGATAATTATTATAGTTAGATTTATTTCTTATACATAACTCTAGATAACTTCATGCCATCTATATGTCAGTGACCTCCAAATCTCTCTCCAGAAATGGCCTTTCTCTGAAATCCATAATTACTCTCCAACTACTTCTTGGCTATCTTCACATGGGTTTCAGATAGGCCTTTCAAACTTCACATGGCCCATAAATAACTCTTTTTTTTAAAGTATAAATCAGATCTTGTTATCTCTTGCTTCAAACTCTCCAGTATCTTTTCACTTTACTTGGAGTAAAAGGCAGACCATTCCTATTGCTTGCAAAACCCTCGTGTAATTTGTTCTTGCCCCATTTTCTACGGTTCTTGCCCATTTCCTATGGTTCTCCCCTTTATCAGCTGCACTGGTCTTCTCTCTGTTTCTGTTGTTTCTGTGTGGAATACCTAGTTCTGATTTTTTTTTTTTTTTTTTTTTTTTTTTTTTTTTTTTGAGACGGAGTTTCACTCTTGTTACCCAGGCTGGAGTGCAATGGCGCGATCTCAGCTCACCGCAACCTCCGCCTCCTGGGTTCAGGCAATTCTCCTGCCTCAGCCTCCTGAGTAGCTGGGATTACAGGCACGCACCACCATGCCCAGCTATTTTTTTTGTATTTTTAGTAGAGACGGGGTTTCACCATGTTGACCAAGATGGTCTCGATCTCTTGACCTTGTGATCCACCCGCCTTGGCCTCCCAAAGTGCTGGGATTACAGGCTTGAGCCACCGCGCCCGGCCTAGTTCTGATTTTTAAATGGTTGAGTCCTTCTTGTTTTTTATGGCTTAGCAGGTATCACCTTCTCAATTGGTCTTCCCTAACCATTCAGTCTTATGTAGCTATCCAGTCACATTTGTCGCATCACTCTGTTGATTCTCTGTGTAGGGTATGTCACTGTTTCTTATGTGTGTAGTAGTTTGTTTTGTTTCTTTTCCTACTAGAATTAACCTGCCTGAGAAAAGACCTTTATCTTACCACTGTCATTTATTGAATGAAACACTGACCTAAGTTTTTTGAAAGTTTGTCCAGAGTAGTAACAGGGAGTGGCCTTAATCTCCCCATTACTCATATTGTTGTCATTTAACATTGAATAAATTACTAAATCTTAGGCTTTTTTTTTTTTCCAGTTTAAAACCCTTCCTATTGATATCTCAATGATTTGGCATACGTTGTATCTTAGTTTGTCACAAGGGAGAATGTTAACCCTAAACCATTATGTCAAAAGATAAAACAGACTTCAGGTTTACTCTTGTCCTTGTTGCTTTTCTTTATTTATTCTGCTATTGTGCAGGTGACCATCCAAGGCAAGATAGCATGGATTTCAGTAATGAGTGGGGGGATCCCTCAAGCTGTCGATGTGGAGACAGACTGAAGCCGTTAGAGCGGAGAGCTGCACGCCAGCACCAGCGATGTCTAGCACATTCTTTGGTTGGGACTCCCAATTATATTGCACCTGAAGTGTTGCTACGAACAGGTAAAGCACTTGGTTTCATATGTAATCTCAGTAGGTCTTTAGACCAGCCAAGACCTAACACTAATATGCCTTATTTTTCAGGCTTATAATAATAATACTAATTTTACAGTATAAATTGGTGATTTAATGTTAATTTTGATTGTATTCTGAGCATTTATAAAGTGCTTATAAATAACTTTGATATCTTATTTTAGGATACACACAGTTATGTGATTGGTGGAGTGTTGGTGTTATTCTTTTTGAAATGTTGGTGGGACAACCTCCTTTCTTGGCACAAACACCATTAGAAACACAAATGAAGGTAAGGTATGGCATCTATTTCAAAAGAACTATCACAAAGTTCCTACCTCATTGACCTTCATTTATTAGTACTTACAGTATTTTAATCTGGAGTTAAAGAATGAGCTTGGGCTGGGTGCAGTGGCTCACACCTATAATGCCAGTGCTTTGGAAGGCTGAGGCAGGAGGATTCCTTGAGCCCAGGAGTTCAAGATCAGCCTGGGCAACAATGTGAGACCCCACCTCTCCAAAAAAACGTTTTTATTAAAAAAAGAGGCTGGGCGCGGTGGCTCAAGCCTGTAATCCCAGCACTTTGGGAGGCCGAGGCGGATGGATCACGAGGTTGAGAGATCGAGACCATCCTGGTCAACATGGTGAAACCCCGTCTCTACTAAAAATACAAAAAACTAGCTGGGCATGGTGGCACATGCCTGTAATCCCAGCTACTTAGGAGGCTGAGGCAGGAGAATTGCCTGAAGCCAGGAGGCGGAGGTTGCGGTGAGCCGAGATCGCGCCATTGCACTCCATCCTGGGTAACAAGAGCGAAACTCCGTCTCAAAAAACAAAAAAAAAAAAGAGAAAAAGAGTGAACTTGTAAGGGTATATGAACTCACCGAAATTGCATGTGAACTCCTGTCTCCATCACGCCATATCACCATAATCTTGTATTCCCCCTCACTCATACCCCATACTCATTTCATTCTCAAAAAGGTCCATTTTGAAGATTGATTCCAGTTTACTCCTTGTCACCTACTACCTTGTGGCTTTGTCTCCTTCTGTGCAAACCACAAACAAATGTTTATATCCCCACTTGAAAATCCCTCTCACACTTAAATGAGAATGTACTCACAATTTTGTTCATACACTGTCTGATTTAAAACCCTTTAGTGATTCCTTTGTCCATGGGTTAAAGTCCAAATTTGCCCTCTGTTCATATGATCCCCTCCGTCTGGAATGTCCTACTTCCATCTCTCTCTTCTGTAATTCTTCCTCCTTTCTGAAGTCAAACTCCTGATCATTCTGGTTTTTTTTTCGAGATGGAGCCTCATTTTTGTTGCCCAGGCTGGAGTGCAGTGGCACAATCTCGGCTCACTGCAACCTCCGACTCCTGAGTTCAAGCAATTCTCATGCCTCAGCCTCCAGAGTAGCTGGGATTACAGACACGTGCCACAGTACCCAGCTAATTTTTCTATTTTTAGTAGAGATGGGATTTCGTCACTTTCGCCAGGGTGGTCTCTAGCTCCTGACCTCCTGATCCACCGGCTTTGGTCTCCCAAAGTGCTGGTTGCAGGCATGAGCCACTGTGCCTAGCCAAAATTCATCTGTTTGTTTATTTATTTATTTATTTATTTATTTATTTTTTGAGACGGAGTTTCGCTCTTGTTACCCAGGCTGGAGTGCAATGGCGCGATCTCGGCTCACCGAAACCTCCGCCTCCTGGGTTCAGGCAATTCTCCTACCTCAGCCTCCTGAGTAGCTGGGATTACAGGCACGCACCACCATGCCCAGCTGATTTTTTTGTATTTTTAGTAGAGACGGGGTTTTACCACGTTGACCAGAGTGGTCTCGATCTCTTGACCTCGTGATCCACCCGCCTCGGCCTCCCAAGGTGCTGGGATTACAGGCTATTTCTTTATTTAAACAATGAAAACCAGAAACTAAAATTTAAAAATACTACCATTCACAGTAGCTCCTCTGAAATAAAAAACTTTGATGTAAATCTGACAACATGAGCAAGATCTGTATGCAAATTGCTACTGAAATAAATAATAGGCTGGGTGCGGTGGCTCACGCCTATAATCCCAGCACTTTGGGAAGCCAAGGCAGGCAGATCACCTGAGGTCAGGAGTTTGAGACCAGCCTGGCCAACATGGTGAAACCCTGTCTCTACTAAAAATACAAAAATTAGCCAGGCATGGTGGCAGGCACCTATAAACCCCAGCTACTCAGGAGACTGAAGGAGGATAATACTTGAACCTGGGAGGTAAAGGTTGAAGTGAGCCAAGATTGTGTCACTGCACTCCAGCCTGGGTGACAGAGTGAGACAATGTCTCAAGAAAAGAAAAAGAAAAAGAAGTGGTAGATCTTGGCCAGATACAGTGGCTCACACCTGTAATACCAGCACTTTGGGAGGCCAGGTGGGCAGATTACTTGAGGTCAGGAGTTTGAGACCAGCCTGGCCAACATGGCAACACCATCTCTACTAAAAATACAAAAAAAATTAGTTTGTAATCCAGCTGCTCAGGAGACTGAGACAGGAAAATTGCTTGAACCTGGGAGGAGGAGGTTGCGGTGAGCCCATATAGTGCCATTGCACTCCAGCCTGGGTGACAGAGTGAGACTGTCTTCAAAAAACAAAAGAGAGAGAGAGGGAGAAAGGGAAGGAGAGAGAGAAAAAGGAGGGAGAGGAGGTAGGGAGAGAGGGAAGGGGAGACAGAGAGAGAAGAAAAGAAAAGAAAGAGAAATCATAGATCTAAATAAGTAGAGACACATACCACATTCATTGATTGGAAGAGTTAACGTAGTAAAGCTGTAACTTTTCCTGTAATTAATTTATAGGTTTAACTCATCACCAGTCAAAAATCTCAGCAGGATTTTTTGTAGATACAGATGAACCAATTTTAAAATTTACATGGATGGACAAAGAGTAGAATAGGCCAAGCTCGGTGGCTTATGCCTGTAATCCCGACGCTTTGGGAGGCCGAAGCGGGTGGATCATTGGGCTCAGGAGTCTCTACTAAAATACAAAAATTTAGCCATGTACAGGGATACGTGCCTGTAGTCCCAGCTACTCGGGAGGCTGAGGCAGGAGAATTGCTTGAACCCAGGAGACAGAGGTTGCAGTGCACCGAGGTCAATCCACTGCACTCCAGCCTGGGCAACAGGGTAAGACTTTGTCTCCAAAAAAAAAAACAGAAAGAATAGCAAAATAAATTTTTTAACAAGAACAAAGTTGGAGCGTTCAGCTATCTGACTTTAAAATGTACTGTGAAGCTTCAATAATGTAGACAGTGTGAGAGTGACAAAAAGGTACACACATAAATCAGTGGAACGGAATATAGAATGCAGACATAAGACCGCACTACTATGGCCATTTGATCTTTGACAAAGGTGCAAATGGAAAAAGGATAGTTTTCTAACAAATGGTAATGAAAAAAATTGGTCAGCCATGTACAAGAAAACTAAACCTCAGGCCAGGTAAGATGGCCCATGCCTGTAATCCCAGCACTTTGGGAGGCCAAGGTGGGTGAGGTCAGGGGTTCAAGAACAGCCTGGCCAACATGACGAAACCCTATCTCTACTAAAAACAGAAAAATTAGCCGAGTGTGGAGGTGCATACCTGTAATCCCAGCTACTCAGGAGGCGAGGCAGGAGAATCACTTCAACCCAGGAGGCAGAGCTTGCAATGAGCCGATATCGTGCCACTGCACTCCAGCCTGGAACAACAGAGCAAGACTCTGTCGCAAAAAAACAAAAAACAAAAACAAAAACTGAACCTCAGGTGACCTGACACCTTTACAAAAATTAACTTAAATTGAGTCACATATGTGTAGATAAAATTTAAAGCTATAGTACTTGTAGAAGAAAACAGGAGAAAATCTTCATGGGCTGGGATTAAGTAAAGAGTTCCTAGAAATGACCCCAGAATCATGATCTGTAAAAGAAAAAATTCATCAACACTAAGAACTTTACCACACGTACAGTCAAGAGAAAAGACAAGCTACAGTCTGGGAGAAAATATTTACAAATCACATGTCTAAGAAAGGTTTTTTATCTACAATATATGAAGAACCCTCAAAACTCAACAATAAGGAAACAAATAACCCAAGCCAGTGACATGACATATTTCTTTATATGTCTGGGTCAAAAAAAATGGATCTCCGTCTCTTTAAATCTGCCAGAGCTGGTCAAAGAAAGGCAGGAATCTGTGCTGGTCCCTCAGGGAATCACCAACACTAGCCAAAATGGACAACCTCAGATTTTTGGAGGGCAAAGTTCTTTTTTTTTTTTTTTTTTTGAGACGGAGTTTCGCTCTTGTTGCCCAGGCTGGAGTGCAATGGCACGATCTCGGCTCACCGCAACCTTCACCTCCTGGGTTCAGGCGATTCTCCTGCCTCAGCCTCCTGAGTAGCTGGGATTACAGGCACACGCCACCATGCCCAGCTAATTTTTAGTATTTTTTTTTCTTTTTTTTCTTTTTTTTTTTTTTTTTTGAGACGGAGTTTCGCTCTCGTTACCCTGGCTGGAGTGCAATGGCGCGATCTCGGCTCACCACAACCTCTGCCTCCTGGGTTCAGGCAATTCTCCTGCCTCAGCCTCCTGAGTAGCTGGGATTACAGGCACGTGCCACCGTGCCCAGCCAATTTTTAGTATTTTTAGTAGAGACAGGGTTTCACCATGTTGAGCAGGATGGTCTCGATCTCTTGACCTCATGATCCACCCGCCTCGGCCTCCCAAAGTGCTGGGATTACAGGCTTGAGCCACCGCGCCCGGCCTTGGAGGGCAAAGTTCTTACTGCCCACCTTGGTACTAACCAGCTGTTCCAGGAAGACAAGCTGTGGTCTTCATGACCGCCGCAGGACTGAGGAGTGGTAGATGGTAGTGGGTTCACACACGCTGCTGTCTGAACCAAATTTTAGCAGCCTCTCCCTTCATGAGGCACTCTCCTGGCTGCTTTAAGTATCTGATCAGGTTCCAAAGTTCTAAAATAAATTATTCTGATAGTCTTTTTCCAGTTTAATGATTGTTTTTAAGGAACAGTAGATCCTTGATACTTGGGACTCTGTTTTCTGTGATGTCTCTTTCTACTGTGGTTTTTACTATTATCTCTTTGTTTAGTTTTGTTTGTGGTTGCTCTAGTGACTACAAAATACATATTAAGGTTTTTTTTTTTTTTTTGAGATGGAGTCACACTCTATCGCCCAGGCTAGAGTGTAGTGGCACAACCTGGGCTCACTGCAACCTCCGCCTCCCGGGTTCAAGCGATACTCTTGCCTCAGTCTCTCAAGTAGCTGGGATTACCGGCACTCTCCACTATGCCTGGCTAATTTTTGTATTTTTAGTAGAGACAGGGAGGGTTTCACTATGTTGGCCAGGCTGGTCTTGAACTCCTGACCTCTCCACCTGCTTCGGCCTCCCAAAGTGCTGGGATTACAGGCGTGAGCCACCATGCCTGGCATAAGTTTTTACTATCTACCTAGAATTTATATTTTACAACTTCAAGTTCAATGTAGAACCTTACTGTCATATAGGTCCCTTTATTCTCTACTCTTTATGTTGTAGTTACTTTATTTTTCTTCTTCTTTTTTTTTGAGACAAGGTCTTGCTCTGCTGCAAGTGCAGAAGTGTGATCTCAGCTCACTGCAACCTCTGCCTCCCAGGTTCAAGATTCTCCTGTGTCATCCTACTAAGTAGCTGGAATTACAGAGGTGCATGCCACCACACTTGACTAGTTTTATTTTTATTTTTCAATCAATATTAGTCACTGTGTTGCTCAGGCTGGTCTTGAACTTCTGGGCTCAAGCAGTTTTCTCACTTTGGCTTCCCAAAGTGTTGGGATTGCAAGCGTGAGCCTGCACCCAGCTTGTAGTTATTTTATACATTACATCTACATATGCTTAAAACCTCATCTAGCCAGGTGCAGTGGCTTACACCTGTAATCCCAGGACTTTGGAAGGCCACAGCAGGAGGATCACTGGAACGCAGAAGTTTGAGATCAGCCTGGGCAACATAGTGAAATCCTGTCTTTACAAAAAAATTTTTTTAATTAGCCTAGCATGCTGGTGTGTGGTTGTACATGCCTACAGTCCCAGCTACTTGGGGCGGGGTGACCGGTTAGATGGGAGGATCTCTCCTGAACCCAGGAGGTCGAGGCTGCAGTAAGATCTAAGAGTGCACCACTGCACAACAAAGTGGTGTGGGTAACAAAGTGTGACCTTGTCTCAAAACCTGCCTCATCCAACAATATAACAGTTTTGCTTTCAACCATCAAGTTCTTTTAAAGAACTCAAGGTGAGAGGCTGGGTGCTGTGGCTCATACCTGCAATCCTAGCATTTTGGGAGGCCAATGCAAGCGGATTGCTTGAAGCCAGGAGTTCCAGACCAGCATGAGTAACAAATAATAGATCATGTTTCTACCAAAAACAAAAAAGTAGCCGGGCATGGTGGATGGTGGCACATGCCTTTGGTCCCAGCTGCTCCAGACATAGGAGGATCACTTGAGCCCAGGAGTTCCAGACTGCAATGAGCTATAATCACCCCAGTACACCACATCCTGAGCAGCAGAATGAGAACCTGTCTGGGAAAAAAAAAAAAAAAAAATCAAGATGAGAAGAATAGTCAATTATGTTTACCTGTATATTTAGCATTTTCCTTGCTCTTCCTGCATTCTTGGTGTTTCAAGATTCCTTCTATGTTGTATCTCTTCCATCTGAAAAAACTTCCTTAAGCAAATACTTTAAAGCAAGTATGTTGACAACAGATTGTCTTAATTTATCTTCATATGAGAATGTCTACATTTTGCCTGTCTTAGAATATTATGACTTAAGAGCAGGTACAGTGGCTCATGCCTGTAATCCCAGCACTTTGGGAGGCCAAGGTGGGCGAATCACCCGAGGTCAGGAATTTGAGACCAGCCTGGCCAACATGGTGAAACCTTGTCTCTACTAAAATACAAAAAATTAGCTGGGCTGGTGGTGTGTGCCTGTAATCTCAGCTACTTGGGAGGCTGAGGCAGAATTGCTTGAACCCGGTAAGCAGAGATTGCAGGGAGCAAGATTGCACCACTAAACTCCAGCCTGGGTGACAGAGTGAGACTCCATCTCCATAAAAAAAAAAAAAAGAGTATTATCACTTGATACATAATTCTGGGTTTTAGTTCTTACAGCACTTTAAAATGTCCACTTCCTTCTATCATTCATAATTTGATGTGACATCTGCAATTATTCAGATCCCTCAAGTAATGCATTATGTTTCTCTAGCTGCTTTCAATAATTATTTTTTTCAGTATTGTAATCATGATACGTCTGGGCATGAATTTCTCAGGGTTTATTGTTTGGTATTCACCAAGCATCTTAAATCTGTAGGTTTATGTCTTTGATCAGATTTGGGGTGTGTTCAACCGTCATATCTTTAAGTATTTCTCTGTACCACACATTTTCTTCTCTTGTGATGTTAATCACAGGAATGTTAGACCTTTTGATGTGCTTCCACAGATTTCCATAATTTTTTGTTTTTTTCTGCTGTTTAGAATGAACAGTTGATTGAATTGTATAATTAGTATCAACCTATCTTTTTAGAGTCTTGTTCTGTTGCTCAGGCTGGAGTACAGTGGCATGATCTCAGCTCATCGCAACCTCCAGCTCCAGCTCTGGGTTCAAGTGATCCTTCCACCTCAGCCTTCCAAGTCAAGTCACTGGGACTATAGGCTTACCAACACACTCAGCTAATTGTTTGTATTTTTAGTAGAGACAGGGTTCTCAACATGTTGGCCAGGCTGGTCTCAAACTCCTGGCCTCAAGTGATCCACCCGTCTCAGCCTCCCAAGGTGCTGGGATTACAGGAGTGAGCCATCATGCCTGGCCAGTAGCAACCTATCTTCAAGTTCACTGATTTTTTTTTCCTCTGACATCTTCACTCTGCTATTGAACCTATCCACTGAGTTTTTTATTTTGATTATTTTTCAATTATAAAATTTCTTTTTGATGCTTTATACCTTCAGTTTCTTTGCTGAGACCTAGCTTTCATTTCATGAGTGTTCATCCTTATTTGAAGCATATTTATAATGGCTACTTTCAAATTTTTGTCAGAAAATTCTAGCATCTATGTCATAACAGTACTGACTGACTTTTCCTATGTTACTTGAAATTTTCTGGGTTTTTTTGTATACCAAGTAATTTTGGATTGTATCCTGGACTTTTTGAATATTATGTTATGAGACTCTGGTCTTTATTTATTTATTTATTTTTTTTTTTTTGAGACAGTGTCTTGCTCTATCACACAAGCTGGAGTGTAGTGCTGCAATCATGGCTCACTGCAGCCTCAAACTCCTGGGCTCCGGAATCCTCTTGCTTCAACCTACTGAGTAGCTAGGACTATAGGTGCACACCACCATACCTGACTAATTGTTAAAGTTTTTTATAGAGAGGGGGTCTTGCTTTGTTGCCCAGGTTAGTTTTGAACCTTCCTGGCTTCAAGCAGTCCTCCCACTTTGGCCTCCCAAGGTGCTGGGATTATAGGCAAAAGCCACCACGCTTGGCCTCAGAAAAAGTTTTATGAAACATGTATTAAGTATGTGCCAGGCAATTTACTGAGCAGTAGGAGATACAAAGACCACCAAAACATGATCCCTAGCCTTAATGGAATTTTACATTTCAGTAGAAGGACATAAACATAAATAGGTACCACAAGGTATTAGAAATACGATAGAAATAGCCGGGCACGGTGACTCAAGCCTGTAATCCCAGCACTTTGGGAGGCCGAGGCAGGTGGGTCACGAGGTCAAGAGATCGAGACCATCCTGGTCAACATGGTGAGACCCCGTCTCTACTAAAAATACAAAAAAAAAATTAGCTGGGCATGGTGGCACGTGCCTGTAATCCCAGCTACTCAGGAGGCTGAGGCAGGAGAATTGCTTGAACCCAGGAGGCGGAGGTTGCGGTGAGCCGAGATTGAGCCATTGCACTCCAGCCTGGGTAACAAGAGTGAAACTCCGTCTCAAAAAAAAAAAAGAAATACGATAGAAATAAATATATGGTACAGGGAAGGCAGAGTAGAAGTAGTCATTTCCACCATAGACAAAAAGATTTACTAAAGGAGATTAAAACTGACAGTGAGTCTTATAATGCGAGTAGAAATTGCCTGGAGAGGACAGGATAGGCGAAAAAATTATTTTTCAGCAAAATATCATGTAATTTATTTAACATACAAAAACAGCCCAGTGAGACTTTTGGTATAAAACTTGAAGGAAATTTTTATTTTTCTAATTTATCTCTTTCTCCCTAATTTTTAAAAATCTTTGAAGGTTATCAACTGGCAAACATCTCTTCACATTCCACCACAAGCTAAACTCAGTCCTGAAGCTTCTGACCTTATTATTAAACTTTGCCGAGGACCCGAAGATCGCTTAGGCAAGAATGGTGCTGACGAAATAAAAGCTCATCCATTTTTTAAAACAATTGATTTCTCCAGTGACCTGAGACAGCAGTCTGCTTCATACATTCCTAAAATCACACACCCAACAGATACATCAAATTTTGATCCTGTTGATCCTGATAAGTTATGGAGTGATGATAACGAGGAAGAAAATGTAAATGACACTCTCAATGGATGGTATAAAAATGGAAAGCATCCTGAACATGCATTCTATGAATTTACTTTCCGGAGATTTTTTGATGACAATGGCTACCCATATAATTATCCGAAGCCTATTGAATATGAATACATTAATTCACAAGGCTCAGAGCAGCAGTCGGATGAAGATGATCAACACACAGGCTCAGAGATTAAAAATCGAGATCTAGTGTATGTTTAACGCGCTAGTAAATAAATTAATGAGGATTTGCAAAAGGGCCTGAAATGTGAGGTGTTTTGAGGTTCTAAGAGTAAAATTATGCAAATATGACAGAGCTACATATGTGTGCTCTGTGTACAATATTTTATTTTCCTAAATTATGGGAAATCCTTTAAAAATGTTAATTTATTCCAGCCTTTTAAATCAGTATTTAGAAAAAAATTGTTATAAGGAAAGTAAATTATGAACTGAATATTATAGTCAGTTCTTGGTACTTAAAGTACTTAAAATAAGTAGTGCTTTGTTTAAAAGGAGAAACCTGGTATCTATTTGTATATATGCTAAATAATTTTAAAAGTCAAGAGTTTTTGAAATTTTTTGGAAAGTTTTAGTTTTATCATGCTTTAACCAAATATGAAACATACCACATATTTACAGAGCTCTTTTTTCCCCTCATAACCTTGTTTTTGGTATAAAATAAGCTAGAGAAATAAAGCCATCATGTTGATGAGTGTACCTTGGCTAATGATAATCTGTATAATTCACATCCTGAAACTAAGGAATACAAGGTTGAAAAAATATTAATATGTTCATCAGAAGGAAAAATGGTACAGATATCTTTTTTTCCCCCATCTGTGGAATATCTAATCTTCTTGGCATTTATTTCTCAAGAATTACTGGCTCTAAAAGAAGCCAAAGCACTACTTAGCTTTCTTTCCATGTTGGTTTTTTGTTTTGTTTTGTTTTTTGTGTGTTTTTTGTTTTTTGTTGTTGTTGTTGTTGTTGTTTGTGGGGTTTTTTTTGGTTTGTTTTTTTTTTTTTGAGACAGAGTCTCGCTCTGTCACCAGGCTGGAGTGCACTGGTGCGATCTTGGCTCACTGCAGCCTTCACCTTCCAGGTTCAAGCAATTCTGCCTCAGCCTCCCAAGTAGCTGTGACTACAGGGTGCGTACCACCACCCCCAGCTAATTTTTGTATTTTTAGTACAGACGGCATTTCACCATGTTGGCCAGGCTGGTCTCAATCTCCTGACCTCATTATCCACCCGCCTCAACCTTCTAAAGTCCTGAGATTACAGGTGTGAGCCGCTGCGTCCAGCCCCATATTGGTATTTTTAATGCTGCTTCCAATTTTAAAAGGGAACCAAGCTGCCATAAATCAAATTTTTCAGTACTAAAAGCTAAAATATTTCCCACCATCCTAAGCAGAGAATTATTTTCATTTTCATATACTTTTCCTATACAGTAACTATTTTGATTATATCATCAATGTTACCTGTTTACTCTTTCAGAACAGTGCTGCATATACAGATTGTTATTGGCAAAGGAAAATCTGACTATCTGGCAATATTTTATCTAAAGGCAGATTAATTGGTGAAAAAATTAACTCTTGAGATGGCCATTAATAATTAGGAAAATTTACAGAGTGGTCTTACTAGAAAATTCAAGTCCTCCTAATTTATTTATTCTTGAACATGCCTATTATGTATAATGCTTAGTTTCTAAGGAAGATTAAGGTTTCATGCCAAAATACATGTAGCTTATCTTTTAGGAAGCGGGGAAAGGCTCTAATTTGGCCATAGTAAAGTTTATATTGTATTTTATTTCCTTTTCTTAAACTCCACTGATATGCCATTGTTTTTATCAAAAGTTACTATTTGTGGATTGGAGGCATAATTGTAATGATTTTCAGACTGTTAGCTTCCTTCACATAAAAGCTAATTGAAACCACGTATGTAGTAAAATTAAAGGCAGAGCTGTTACAGTTGAATTGGAGAGTCAGAGCAAAGAAAACTTATTAACCCATACTTCCCACCTTTCTACAGATGGTCCTTTCAGAGCTCAACTTGAGAACTACTGCTGTGTTCTCATAGGTCTTGGGGTTACTAGTTCTTGTGAGAATCTGATGAAAGCTGTGGACTCTTCCTAGGAAAAAAAAAAGCTTATCAATACATACACATACAATGTTACATGCAGTTTCAAGGGATTTTGGACATACTGAAACCTGTCACAGGCTCTAGGTTATGGACCTCTGTCCCATAAGAAAATCAATATATTAAAATAAGAACTCTGCTTTTAACTTACCAGTCACTACTTGGCATGTCTTATATAAACTGATAATTTGTGGTGGAAAAGATCTGTAGCATGTGATACAAGGTGAACTTATGAATGCCTTCTTGCTGGTAATAAAATTGTTTTAAATGTGCCCTTTGGAGGTCACTGAAATGTTGGGCTCATTACAGGCTTGATACAGAAATATTTCTGAAGGATTTCAAATCAGAGAATTGTAAGAAAATACGCTATCATGAAATGGCAGTCTTTACCTCATGGTTCGTGGAACATTTGGTTAGTCCCGTAAAATCCTGTGCAAAACAAAGTAGTTCAAGAATTTTTAGGTGGGTACTCACATTTATAAGGTATTCCTCTTGCTCTTTGGGCTTTTTCAGTCTGATTTATTTAAATTTTCATTTAGTTGTTTTATTTCTGGACTATGGTGCAATACAGTAGAAAATAACTTGTTACATTTATGTTGTAGGAAAACTAAGGTGCTGTCTCCTCCCCTTCCCTTCCCACAAAATCTGTATTGCCCCTATTGCTGAAATGTAACAGATACTACAAATTTTGTATTCTTTTTTTTTGGTTTTTTTTTTTTTTTTTTTTTTTTTTTTTGAGACAGGGTCTTACTCTGTCACCCAGGCTGGAATGCAGTGGCACTTCACAGCTCACTGCATCCTCGACCTCGGGGCACACGTGATCCTTTTGCCTCAGCCTCCCAAGTAGCTGGGCCTGCGCCACCAAGCCCAGCTAATTTTTACATTTTTCGTAGAGATGGGGTTTCGCCATGTTGCCCAGGTTGCTCTGGAACTCCTGGGCTCCAGTTATATGCCCACCTCAGCCTCCCAAAATGCCGGGATTACAGATGTAAGCCACCGTGCCTGGCGCAAATTTGTATTCTTTTAAAATTTCCTCTGACACAACAAGCCTTTTGCATTTATCTCAAGCAGTATACATGCCTTTAGTATCAGCAGTTTTAACAGTTTGAATGTATGTATCAGCTACCGTATTCCAAAATTACATCTACTTCTTCCACTATATAATCTGGTGCTTCCTGACCAAAAAAGATGAGAAAAACAATGTTAAAAATATAGATGCTTTCCATTGAAATGGAGTGAAAACATTGGTTCTATATGTTTTCTTTTTAAAATTTACTTGCTATCTTTATTCTACTTACCCTTTTAATGCATATCAATAGTATTTATAAGATGTGTTCTATAATTATGTTAATTGTAGATACTGTTATGTATTGTCCAGTGACATCATAAGGCAGGCCCTACTGCTGTATCTTTTCTACCTTCTTATTTGTAATAGAAACTATAGAATGTATGACTAAAAAGTCACTTTGAGATTGACTTTTTAAAAAAGTTACTATCTTCTGCTGTTGCAAAGTGCAAAACTGTGAGTGGAATTGTTTTATTTTGACTTAATATGTTAGAAATTAGAGATTACAGTGGGAGGATTTTTAGACATTGCTGCTGCTGTTACCCAAGGTATTTTAGATTAAAAAATTTTTAATAAACAAAAATCCCTTTGGTATTTAAACTGGAACATTTAGCCTGTTCATTTTAATCTAAAGCAAAAAGTAATTTGGGTCAAAATATTGGTATATTTGTAAAGCGCCTTAATATATCCCATTGTGGAAGGCACTACACAGTTTACTTTTATATTGTATTGTGTATATAAATATTTTGTATTAAAATTGAATCAGTGGCAACACTAAAGTTTTATAAAATCATGCTTTGTTAGAAAAGGAATTACAGCTTTGCAATATAACTAATTGTTTTGCATAATTCTGAATGTAATAGATATGAATAATCAGTCTGTGTTTTTAATGAACTTATTTGTATTTTCCCAATCATTTTCTCTAGTGTAATGTTTGCTGGGATAATAAAAAAAAAATTGAATCTTTCAATTATGTGTGGAAAGCTAATTTTTACACTGCTTAACTATGTTGTTTTCAATTCAAAAATTTATGTAAATATTCTCAGAAAATTTATGATTAAAATTTTGATGTTTTGGAATTAAAATAGATATAACTAATAATAGTACTTAGGTTAAGGCAAACAATATTATGTAAATGTCAAATGTTTTAAATGTTTTTATTTTGACCAATATAAGTACAATAAATGTTTCCTATTAAAGGCTTCCATTAGATTACAGGTTTAGAATTTAATTATTAAATTCTACACTTAATACCATTTGATTACAGCATATAATTTTTAAAATGTAAAAACGTTGGTTTATCTGTTTTCCTTTATAATCCTTTCTGTTTGTTTTATTTCTTAGAGATGATCTTGCTCTGTCACGAAGGCTGGAGTTCAGTGGCACAATCAAACCTCACTTTAACCTCTCAAACTCCTGGGCTCAAGCCATCCTCCTGCCTTAGTCTCCCAAGTAGCTAGGACTATAGGAATGTGCCACCACATGTGGCTAGTGTGTGTGTGTGTGTGTGTGTGTGTGTGTGTGTGTGTGTATGTGTGTGTGTGTAGAGATGGGGTCTCACTGTGTTGCCCAGACTGATCTCAAACTCCTGCCTCTGCCTCCCAAAGTATTGGAATCACAGACCTGAACTACTGTGTCAAAATATATATGTCGATATTACATCTTTTTGGTTTTTTGTTTTTTTTTTTTGGAGACAGAGTCTTGCTTTGTCATCCAGGCTGACGGCACAGTGGCGTAATCTCAGCTCTCTGCTGTCATCCAGGCTGATGGCACAGTGGCGTAATCTCAGCTCTCTGCAACCTCCACCTCCCGAGTTCAAGCGATTCTTCTGCCTCAGCCCCCTGAGTAGCTGGGACTACAGATGCATGGCACCATGCCTGGCTAATTTTTGGATTTTTAGTGGAGACAGGGTTTGACCATGTTGGCCAGGCTGGTCTTGAACTCCTGATCTGGTGATCCACCCACCTCGGCCTCCCAAAGTGCTGGAATTACAGGCGTGAGCCACTGCACCTGGCCAAAATTATATCAGCTTTATATGGATGAACAAGTACTG